TTATATATATTTATAATATATTTCTTCTCCTCATGATTTACAGTTTGTTTGTTTGTTGTTTGTGCATTTCATTGATTTTTTTTTTTATGTGACAAGGCACAAATAGACACTCTAGTCATTGAAGACACTTGAATACATAATCCAACCTGTTACAGTGTACGCAGAATAATTTGATTAAGAATGGACGGATTTTACTGTGCTGTATAATCTTATGCATCCTGAACTATTTGAAAGCCTGTGTTTGTTTTTATGTACCTTAATCTGGCTTTTCCAGAAATTAGCTTTTTTTTAAATATAGTCTACAGAATTTTAAATCTAACTGTATATTATATCACCTGCATCTGTGCTCCATTACTCTGTGTTTACATGTTGATGAACTGTTGTTTTACAGATTGCTGCCATGGTGGTTTCAATGGTTCTCTACAAAGACATTGGCAACAAAGCATGATCCTCCTTTTGAAATGAGACAACAGCTGCAGAAACTGCACTTATTATTTGTATGATTTTTTTTTTTAACAGACAGAGCCTTGCATGTGCTTTTAGTATGTGGAGCAATAAATCCGAGATGGAGAAGTATCTGCTGCTTTTAGGCTCAAAGTACACATATATACAATGAATTTATTTATGTTTTAAGAAGGGCTCTGGTCAGCTGAAGTTGTACTGTATGTGCTGAAACATATAAAGAGCAATATGTAATGATGCACAAAGAAAAATCTGAAAAAGTTGGGTCTGTTTGTGTTTATGCCCCATGTCCCATTCACAACAATTTGGATTTATTATTGTATGATTGATCACATGTAAAATGAAATATTGTAGCCTTGATTTTTACAATTATTAACACACTGATTAAACTGTTTTCTTTTATCACCCATGTTGTTCTCCTTATCCATGCTCTGGCCTCCCTCATCCTCTTCTTTGCCCTCTGTCCTTTTCTGGTTTTTCTTGCAACATCACAGCCCTTTAATTAACATGGACACGTGCAGGAAAGAGCATCCACCTTAAATTTTTAAGCAAATTTCTCACTAGACTGACTAACTCGTCATGAAAAAAAAAAACAGGTCTTAAAAAGCACTTTATGACCAAGTCGGATAAAGGAAATGCCGGACCTTGTTTTGGGTCCTAGCTGGGTCCTAGCTCAGGCAGGAGAAGGTAAGCTTTCTCCTCTCAAGCTATACTTTGTCTTGATGCTCCTACAATAATCATTTCCTATTTCAGTGCGCACGTGTAGCTCCGTGTTTAGTTAAGTGTTTGAGGTGAAATACGGCTTTGACCTGCACAACGACGCCTTTTATCAGCTGCCTAGCTTTGTTAATGTCTGCTCGAGTGGGCCATTCCAGTGGTGTGTTGTCAGTTGCAGGCTCAGTAAAAGTTAATGTGTACTGAGAACGCACATTTCATAACGTTGTGTTTGATTTGACTGCAAGTGTTTGTGACTCGGTAGGATTTGGGCAAAGTGTGTCATTCCCAATGTAAAACCGAGATTCAGAGCTTTCTAACCAGCTATGGGACAAGCTAAGTGATCCATCCAAAGAGGCAGTGATCCCGTGCGTAATCCTGGTGTATTAGTTTTATTTTATTTATATATAAGTTTTAGTGTTTTGTTTACCTCGCACCCCATAGTGTCCATTACAGGAATATATAAAGTCACAGGCAAAGTAACATAGCCTGTATATTTTAAATGGAACAAAGTTTTCTATTTTTTAGAGAAATGAGAGACTTGTTGCTTTATTTCATTTTATTTTAGGTTGTTTTGCACAAAAATAGGGGCTGGGTTCACCTGACTCCACTCAGGAGAAGTACTGTAGTTTGTGTTAATACTAAAGTTAAGGTCACAGCAACCAACACATCACTAGGAAATGTATGTCAAGTACAGTACCACTTTATAGCGCCAGTTACGTCAGTGTTATGGCTGAATGACTGACTAGAGGTCAGTGCTGCCTTCAATAATTTACTACATGCTTTGGAAAATCCCCCACTTAACAGAGATAACACTGGCATTGTACATGTATGACAAACATGTCACCCTTAAAGACACAGTCCGATTTTTAAAGCTGTGATAATTAATATGTTTATATTAACAGTGGATGTACCTGTATGTAAGTCCTAGCCTATAATGTTTGATTCCACTGTTCCTCTCAGCTCTGCACCTGCTATATTTGCGTTTGGTTTTCCAGGCCTGTAACTTTAGTGTTTTGGTTTGTCTCAGCATCTGTTTTCACCTCAGACAGAACTTTGATGAACTCTCTGTACAGCAAGCACCAGACACAGTTGTCAGATCTTCTTCCAAACTGCAGGTCTTTTAATTGCTTGGGGGAACTGAAAAGTGTTAAATGATGTTCCATACAGTCCAGCCTTATATACTCAGAACACTTTAATTAACTTTATGTAGTGAGTAAATGTCATTTGAACAGGGTAATTGCTGCTGATGCATTACAACAGTTTACATTAGACATACTTGATCACACCGTTGTGTGTGTGTGTGTAGATAGTGGACTCTAGTGAAGTTTAATGTGTGCTGACTGCTGAAGCAACAGGTTATCCCATCACATGCTATACGTGACCCTCTTCACGTCGTCATCTGAAAACTCTTACTGCTGTCATAAAATTGCTGGAACTGCAGTTAAATGAAATGTTGCTGTGCTATCTCTTTTTGGTCTGGAAGAGACGGCATTAATATGTGTTTGTTTAGAGGCGCCATGGTAAAGGAGCACATGAAGTCAAGACAAGATGTGAGTCAGCCTTGTGGCACATGCAGTGTTACCTGCAGCACGAGTGTATACTATACCATTTATTAGCATACAGAAATATGCTTCCTCTTGTTGGTTTCAGATTACATATGTCTCTGAAGTGTTGTCACGGTGACTAATAATACACCCTTGTTAGAGGTGCCGTAATGTGCCATATGATATAACATATAGTGTAATATAAGGCTTTCCAACACTACCCGTTTTGTGTGTTTGCCATTTTTATGAGTGAATGGATATTTACAGTATTACTAATTCATAATGGATGTCTTTGTGTGTTTATACGTGCTCGCTCAAAGGTAAGATTTATCAGAAGTGTTTTCTAACAGTATTTTCAGTTTTATGAGGGGAAAAATGCTTCAGGTATGAAAACTCGCTGGTTGCTTTGGCAAATATAAATCTATTCAACTTCCCCATCTACACTAAAGAGCAGCACACAGCATTTAATGTGGGGCTGAGACACAGGTTCAGCCCGGCCCTCAGATCCTTTTGAAAGTTCCTCCTTTCTGAGCCATTTCCTTCCAAAAAATCCAGGCAGCGAATCAAGCCATACAGTAGCTCCTTGAGCAGTTACTCATATGTTATCTTACATCCTTTTATCTGTTTTTATTGCCTTTATTTTTTTATGGCTGAATCAGTGGCAGAAAGAGGAAGTTTCACATAACAAAGTCAGTACTCCTGTTAGGATGAAGGTATGTATCCAGTTTACAGTATCACAGAAGACATGTCTGACTTAACTGTTCCTAAACTGAGCTTTACCTTGCTGAAAGTGTCATTCATTATAATTTTGAAGGCCTCACCAGCTGCCACTTCTGCTTAACCGAGAGGCTGTGTGATTAGTCTGTCCACATCAGTCACTGATGCTTTGTCATGATTTAAAAAATAAGTCAATATGTCAATACATTTTTTGAGAAGTATTCTGTACAGTGTATTTGTGAGAAACAAGGTGGAACTCTCATGGACGACTTCTAACAGTAAATAGAGAAGAGGCGGAGAAGATATTCGTTTGTAAACCGTGCCCTCTTGTGGAAGAATGTAATTCTGCAGCTAGAGAAAGTGATTCGCCCTGGATCTTAATCTTAAGTGGTGGTTGAGAAGCAGAGGTAGAGAAGGTGCTATAGGGAAAATGCCTCTAACACCCAGGCCTCTATTTGAGAAAGTCAAACAGCCTTTCTATTGCAACATTGTCAGCCAGTCGGCCATCAACAGCCAGTGTGTGATCAGGTCACGGGTGACAGGGCACACTGAAGTCTGATGGTGTAATGATGGGACATCAAGGGAGAGGCTCTGAAGTTGTCTGTGGGAATAAATGGACAGGAGACGACTTGTTTACACAGAGAACATAAACTCATTATTACTTTATAGCCAAAGGTTACAGGAAGACCTGCTGAATATGTAGGGTTTATTGTTTACTAATCAGCATGCTAACTGCAGCAGTCTTTCTAGAACTTTGGGAAGGGACACATATAGTTTTAGTTTAAAAAAAAAAGATCCCTGTATCAAGTTTAATGTTATTGTAATGTATGACTGCAATGTAAAAGAAATCTACATGTTCTGTGATTTTGAGGAACATATAATGTGGAAGGACTGAGTGGTTTGTATGAATTGGGTGTGAATTGTATGCTGTGGCCTTCAAAAAATGAGATCCTGACCCAACGGTAAACCTAACTAGAAGATTTTGGACCAACCATGTTAGGCAGCACTATTTACCTCAATCTTCAAAATAGCAAGTGAGGAAATATCATTTGGAGAAATAGTTCCGGTACTGCCTGTAGAGGTCAGAGACAGGTAATGTCAGCCAAAGACAAGCTGTAGATTAAATTTGTTTAATCAAAGCAAGTAAACAAATAAATAAATGAGTTGTTAAAACTAATCTGCTCTCAGATTAATCTGAAACTCAGATCAAGCTCTCTCTTCAGATGTTATTTTGTATAACTACAGCAGGTTTAACACACCTTGAAACTGAAATCATCTGCCTGGCAACCGACTATGACCTGGAGTTTTAAGCTGGGTGTGATATCTGGTCTGGTGTGGGAACTGTGACACCTTCTTTGCATTAAAACACAGGTGAGAAATGGCAGCTGCCTATATAAAAACCCGCTCCATCGCACAGACACAGCATTGACAGCAAGGTTGCCATTTGGAACCTTGGACCATACAACCACAGAGAGAGTTTTTAATATAATTTTAGTTTAGTTTTTTTTTGCCAGTATTTAAAATAACTACCTAATTTCTATTTTTCAAATCAATTTTGAGAAACCCTCTTACTCTGTGAAACAATGGCTTTGCTCATCAGCCTTGTGTTTTTGTCAAGTTGGACAACTGTAGCTTTTACATTCCCTCACAAAGCTTTTGGCAGCGTCTTGAAAGGCTCGAGGGTCGAGTATGAATCATCTGGCAGTGGACCAGATGAACCTGTCCGCGGAATAGTTAAGGTTGTACAGCTGGACCCACGTGCCCTGGACCAGTCAACGTTCTTCAGAAGGGGCATGACCCCAAGAAGATCCCCTTCCCTCAGCTCCAGATCATCCTTCCCTGCCTTTCTGTCTCAGGGACGCCCCGGTCCAGCCCTGGGCCCCAGGGCCCATGTGAGTCCACTTCAGCACCTGCACCCTAAAAGCCCCAGTGAGCCTGAACTAAAGAAGAGACAAGGCCTGCAGATGTGGCAGAGAGTTATAGATAAAGGAGACAAGATGAACACGTTGCTGCCAGTCAACCTGAAGGACACCAAACAGACATGCACTGCAGTACCTTTCATTCAGGTAAGATGTTATGTGTTATGTCAGGACTTTATTTACTTTCTATGCCAAGCAGACCTCTGTGCACATATGTAAATATAACAAACAAGTGCATAAAAAATGACAAATACAAAATAGCAATGTTTTGATTTTTCACTGGCAATTAGAGAGCTGTTTGTTAAAGCTGATTATGGCTCTGATAGTGGATTAGCTAGGATGGCGTTGGCTTACATAAACACACAGTGCTGGTTTTTACACTCTCAGAGGTAAATTAACAATATTGTTGTGATGTTTAGCCTAATCTAATCCCTTTGTGTCACCTTCACAGCGTGTGACAGCAGATGGATGCCGTACAGTGACAGTGCACAACAGGCTGTGTTTTGGGCAGTGCAGCTCCCTGTTTGTCCCATCTGAAGCGGAGTTTGCCGGGCTTGGTACTGCAACAGGGGCCCTTCACCGCCGGACCCCCTGCTCACGCTGCGCCCCATCCAAAGCTCACACTGTCACTGTGCCTCTGCACTGCGGAGCTGAGATGCGGGAGAGGCAAGTAATGGTGGTAGAGGAGTGCAAGTGTGAGACAGGCCGTGAGGAAAGGAGTGCTGAGGCTGCAGCCTCTGCAGTCCTGTAACTGTTATACAACAATAACAAAAATACATTAAAGAAATGGGGGAAGGTTACATTTTTCATTTGAAACTGAGGATAGAATAATTCTCTTTACTTTGTATATATTCTGATAATTATTTTGCCCTTTGTAATATGAAGTTGACTGCGTATCTGTATTTGTGCACGAGTCTGAATGAGATATTCAGAGTGAAATATTCCACCACTGATTGTTGACACAATGACCAATATTCTGGTCATGCAATTTTCTGTTGCCGTCCATGTTCAAAACTCTGTTTAGATGAATCGAAACTGAAATATTGTGATCTGTATATTGTCCTTAAAATGTCCTATTTGTCCACATTCCTTTTGCTTCACATCGCTAATTGGTTTTCTGCCAACATTGTTAAATTTACAAGTGCAATTTCGTTTGCATGCAAAGCTCAAATAAAAACATGAAGAGCATTTGTTGTTTTTTTCCACCCACTCTCGTATTCAAGTATTCAAGTGTCAGCTCCTATATTTTATTAAAATCCTGTGTTCTGCCGACTTTTAGCACTTAGCACTCACATCTAAAAGCACCAAACTAGAGAGAAAATGAGCTATTGAGCGTGGGTACTTAGCGGTAAGCAAACATAATTGTTTCAGCATGGACCCCTGAATTATGTATAGGAGCCACCTATTCTCATGCCCAGTCTCTTTTCAGAGTAGTTGTGGGAATTTTAACATCATTCACCACAGATGCACTTGAGCAAGAGGGCATGTGTGATTATGTGTGTATGTGCTTTTTTTTTGTCAGTTAGGGCCCGTAAAACCTATTATTCATTTATATCCTGGCACCTGGGCCTGGTAAAGTGAACTCATCCCCCCACATCCTTACATACATTCCCAGAGGAACATAAAGAAGGGGGCTCTTTACATTGCTTTGGCATGCTGTCAAAATAACTGCTTAGATGGCCATTTGTATTCACTTGGGCTTTCTGAAAAAGTGAGAGCGTTCATTGCGCTACGGGGGTGCAGCGAGTCCCCTGGATTCCATTAGCATGTGATTAACATCTTGGGTTGATGGCTATATTTTCCAAGATTGATGGGACAAATATTTGCCCGGGTCTTAACTAGGAGGAATTAGGGGCCACTTTTTAATCAGAAGGTGGAGAGGTTGGGAGGCCCACAGAGCTGTGCCAACAGTGATCCGATTCTGTGATTTCAGCTCCTTATAGTGAAGGAGGTTGTTTTGTAAAATGCCAGAATCTGAGTAATTTAGTACTTAACCTGTACCTTGTTTAATCATCCATTTCTGTCCTTATACAGTGGTTCCCTTGCTGTCTATAATATTCTACCCACTGCACTGTTATGTGTATGTGTGTGTGTGGTGAAAGGAGAGTCATGATCTCACTATCTCACTCTCCTTTCTTTCTGAACTCTGTACCACACTTCTTCCAATCCTTTGTCTTTTTTTCCTGAAAAAAACTGAGATAGGACACAGTGGGGGGGGGTTGTTGATAGAACAAACAAGGTGCACAAGAGAGTGCACCACTTAGCAAGACAGATGTCAGCCCCCTTTGCATTGTGGGATCCGGCAGAGCACTCCTGCGTCATTAAGGATGGCCTGGTTCCCATGGCGAGGGGAAAGCAAGGAGCCAAAGGAGGAGGGCTTGCTGCCAAGTTCAGCGCCTCGGGGAGCAGATCAGCGTCACGGGGTGCTAAGTGGCCTAGTTAGCGCTTTAAAACACACAATGAGCTGCCTGCTCTTTCTCTGTGTGTGTAGGCCTTTTAACTGTCAGACATGGAAATGGTTGGGAGATGTGTGTTCGATGAAGGGGAGACTCAAACGTTCTCAGTTCAATCAAGGTGTATCAAGTGGAAACTGAATTATAGATGGAGGATTGGAAGCCTGTTTTTGCTCATTTACATGTAGGTTTAATTTGAATAAATGTTCTCCTAGGCCGTCACATACCATATGAGGTGCTTGTCATGGTTCTGTGTATCTTATGGTAATGTGCTTGAAAGTAAATAATCCCAGGTTGGACCATTTAAATGCTGGGGAACTTTTACCTCTGACTTTCTGTGTGTTCTTTTGTCTCATGCTATGGCTTGGTTGACCAAACAGAGCTAATCTAGCTAGCTAGCTAGCTGAACGGTGCTGGAAGGAATGGGCCCGCCAGATTCTCCTCAGCTGCTTGGGGCTCTGCTGGAGCTAAACCGGCACGGTCGATTGGCCCAGGCTGGACCGTAGATCAGGCTCCTAGATTTGGCATTAGCAAGTGAGAGTGAATAGGGGTCCATCATGCACTTTCTGGAAATAAAGTGGGATGATATGCCAGGAGGACTATTTGTAAACAACACAATGACCAGTTAAGTCATAAGACAGACAGTCTTCTCATCCAAATCCCACCGGTACAGGTTTATGGCTGTAGGTGTCAGGCTCTAGGTGAGAGGGTGTCTGGACCATGGCTAACATCTACCTACCCACTGATGCTGTAGTACACGCTCACTCTGTGGCGTTAGTCTGGACCAGCTGGTCAGACTTGGCTCTGCTGGAGATGGTGCCCCGGGCTAAGCCAGCTAGTCTACTGCCATTCTGCCTGGCTGCCAGCTCGCCTGCCAGGCTGTCTGTTGGATGCTGTGCAGGACAGAGAAAGGTGTAGCCTGCGGATCGGAACAACATCAAAGTTTGTCCTTGGATAAGAGCCTGCTGTGGTTTTAGTGCCTGGTGCTGCTACCACCTCTACTGCTGCTCCTAAAAGTAACACAAGTTTAAAATATAATAGTTAGATGTGCGTCTCTTTGGCGCCTGGATGTTGCTCAGCGTCTTCCAGATCGTAGTCTTCATATATATTGTTGTCATTACGATTTTTCATGCAGTCATTTTACTATGTTGTTCTGGTCTGTACATATGGTATCTATTAGTCTGTCCTGGAAGAGGAATCCCTCCTCTGTTGCTTTTTGTCAGGTTTTTTCCATTCCCTCCCCATTAAATGTTTTTTCTTGCTCAGGGAGTTTTTCCTTTTACAGTCAGAGGATCTAAGGGCAGAGAGTGCTGTATGCTGTGCAGAGTATAAAGCCCCTTGGTGTGAATTTGAGATTTGTGATATTGGGGTATATAAGGATAATACATAAAGTTGACTTGACTTGTATATATACTTGTTGCCTTTGTGTGAGCTAGATGTTTGTTGAACGGACGCTGATAGTCACACCACAGCCATATCAGGACAACAGTTGTAAATACTGTCCCAGGTCACCTCCCTGAGACACTATGGTTTTTAAAGTGAGGTAAGGAAGGATTTTTCTTTCCCCATTGTACATCAAGTCACAGTTTGACTGTTTGAAATACATGAGACCTAACTTAGACTTTGATAAAATTGTAGACTTCTGCAAATTTAGAGCAGTGACATCAAGGCTGAGTGTGTTGTTATAAGAAAATGGTTACTGAAGTGTATGATTAGACTGTAATGCTCTCAGCACAGCATACAGAATACACTGTGAGGATGAACGCATGGAGTTTTTATGATTAAAGAAATCCATCTATCCATCCATTATCTATACCCTGTACACCCTGGACAGCAGTCTATCACAGGGCTGACACTTAGAGACAGACAGCCACACACCATTAAAGAAATCATAGATGTAAAAAAAGAAATATTGTGCTATACTCCATGACTGATTGTGTGTTTGAATCCGCTAACCCCTGGACATAGGAACACAGCTTAAACTCTCACTCTAATGTGGCATATTTGAAACGTATTAAAGCTTCAGACACTGCTTGAGGTTTTTAGGTGGAGATATTCACTCAGTAATTGACAACCATGAACCTGTGAACAGAGTTCCCTGCAGACCCCCCTCTTACATGTTATTAATTTAGGACAAGACCCCAAATTCTCCCAAAACAATAACATAGGCAGCTACCTCCTTATACCTTCAGATGTTATTCTACCGAGAAAGTTTTAGAAGCCAGTATACTTTGGCTTCTTGAGGAAGTGTTAAGTTTGGTCTGAAATAACCCATAAACGCCATGACATTGGCCACGTATGACCACTCAGTTTATGATATAAGTTGGAATAAGTGGATAATTGACAAATTTATCTAAAGTATTTTCAGATACAATTCTGTTTGAAAATTAAGTCAGCAATCTGGTTTTCTTTAATCATAAAAGCTCCATACTTCATTCTTGCGAGGTTAGCCACATTTAAACTAGAGTCAGAGTCAAAGTGTTTATTTGTCATATGCACAGTTAGGAAACGTGTTTCCTAACTGTGCATGGAACATGAAACATGAAACGTGCTTCCCTGTACAATGAAATTCTTACTTTGCCGTCCACATGAATGCCACACAATACAAATGAAATATGAGCAATAATACAAATCTAAATAGGCAGTAAAATCACAAGTCTAAGGCACTTTAAAGCAGCCAGTGAAGGAAGCACATAAAAATACAACAAGAACACAATATAATGCAAAGAAAGTATATGCCACATGGGAGCCGTGGAGTGCAGAATACTCAGCAGTGAGTGTTCAATTATGCATGTGCAAAATGAGTATGTAAACAGTACAGATGGAATTACATGAGGTAGATCCTGAGTCAGCTGTTTAGGAGTCTGATGGCAGAGGGAAAGAAAGAGTTTTTCAGTCTAGAGGTCCTGCATTTCACACTTCTGAGCCTCCGACCGGAGGGCAATGGTATGAACTGTCCGTGATGGGGGTAGGTGGGGTCCTTGTGGATGGAGGCAGCTTTCCTACGCACCCTGCGGTGGTAAATGCTCTGCAGAGAGGGCAGAGGAGTCCTGGTGATCTTCTCCACAGTCTTTATCACTCTCTGCAGGTGCTTGCGGTCCATAGCAGTAGTGCTGCCATACCAGACAGTGATGCAGCTGGTCAAGATGCTCTCAGTGATGCAGCTGTAGAAGTTGCTGAGGATCCTAGGCGACATGCCAAACCATAAACTAATTGTATTTTAGTTTATGAAGTAAACATCATATGTAGCTTAAAACATCACTTCATACAATTTCTAAAACTCTACTAAAGCTGAAATAATAATAATAATAAAGAAACCCAATAAAGAGAGAGTTTAAATGTTTAGAAATTTTATATAGGTTTAAAGAGGGTAACAGCACGACAGCAAGCAATAATGTAAAATATCAAAAATCATCAACAATTATTGCTTGATTCGCTTACAACTCTTTAAATTAAGAAAAGCTATTTTTAATCATCAATTTAAGCTCTTTACTCTGATTAAAATTATTATAGTTGAGCTCTCACATTACTGAATAAAAGTCAAAGAGTCACCAGTCACGGGTTGGTTCAAGTGGGTGGTGGTTGAATTTTGTTGGAAATCATAATTCCAACACAGATTCCATCTAGGTAGGACTCATGCCTTTCTTGCTGAAATGTGGTCTCTTACTGAACAGTTCAGACATCCATCGTTGACTTCACGCTCTTGGTAGTGGCTCTAAACAATCTTCC